CATTAGTCCAGTTAAGAGTTTGTATGATGACCAGGAAGCAAGAGTTAGGGCACTCTTATATACCTCAAAGTTTGGAAGCACATAATCAAATCAGTGGACCTTATTTGTGGCATGATATATGATGAGTAACTTTCAAGATGTTGTTGAACACTCATTAATTTTAGACAGCATAGTAGTGATGAGGTATGATAGTTTTAGTCAGCCACATCTGGAGGATAATCTGTTGCTCATCCTGTTCCATAATAATATAACTTGACTCACAGATGTAGCTTTCCTCACTTGAGCAAACTTTAAAGAATTCAGATAACTGAAATAGGGTATGCTATATAGAATTGGTGGAAAAACATTGGGACAGAGGAAGATGGAGAAAAATTAAGAGATTTCTTTCAAGTTTATTACCACCTCCACTATTAGTGATGACTTTAGTGTGATTCTAAGGTATTTGAGTAATCTAAATTTATTATGTTGCTCCAAAAGAGAAATAATTTCACAATAAAAGATATAAGATCTAGCATAATAAACAATGTTCTGAACAGATTGAAGAAAGTATTTGGTAGAGCTGAAGCAATAAAATTAGGACTATGTTCAGAGTAAGTATAACCTAAAATAATAGTAAAAATAAGTAGGTGTAAACAGAACTTTTGCCTGATTGGATTCTGTTTGGAATATGTATCCACTTATTTGGTTAATCATTTAAAAAAAATAAATTCTATTTGGAATATGTTTCCATAAACTACTGACTGAAGAAAGAGAGCTTTAAATTGTCATGTTTATATTTTCTGTGTATATCTTCGTTTTAAGTACAAGGAAAGAATGATTTGGAATATTTATTCCTATTGGTACTAGAATTTCTACCAGTTTCAGAACCATGAATGTAATGTATACATTTTCTAAAGATGAGGGCAAGAGAATCTGGACCATCAGAAAATACCCTAAGCCATTATTTTTGTCAAAACATTCACAGGGAAAGGAACTTTTTGAACTGAGTGTGCATTGCTCAACACCTTCTCTCAACAACAGATGTCATGCTAGTATGTGGCTGCATAATGTTAGAAGTTATTTTTGTTAGATATCACACAGTCAGCACGCTAGCTATGTCAAGGAGCATCAACCAGAGAAGTGATATCTCATTCTTCTGATACTGAAAAAAGTAAAACCTGTAAGGCACCCTTTAATCCATGCAAGGAAGGAGGTGATGGATCACAATGGTGGAATGTTTTATTTGAGTTTAATAATCCACACAATAAATCTTTTAAAAAGTTACAGCCATCTACTGATAAAAGGTTTATTAAAATTTGAGGAAAAAAAGAGTGATAAGCACAGTTCTGGCACCACAATTTCACATGGATTTGTACATTAATAGCTTGTGCTTTGTTCTGCTCTGAATTTATTTTATTTTTCTATATTTATAACAGGAATGGCAAACCTTCGATTCCCCTCTACCTTTTTGTGTTACATGACAGATGAGATGAAGTACAGACAATCCTTATGACCACAACTGAGCCCAAAATTTACGTTGCTAAGCGAGATGGTTTTAAAGTCAATTCTGCCGTTTTTAATGACTTTTTTTGCCACAGTTGTTAAGTGAATCACTGTAGTCTTTAAGTTAATAACATGGCCGTTAAGTGAACCTGGCTTCCCCATTGGGTTTGCTTGTCAGAAGGTCACAAAAGATGTTCACATGACTTTCTGTGTCATAAATATGAATCAGTAGCCAAGTGTCTGAATTTTGATCACGTGACCATGGAAATGCTGCAATGGTTGTTAAGTGTGAAAATGGTGATTAGTCACTTTTTTCAATGCCATTGTAACTTTGAATGGTCACTCAATGAACTGTTGTAAGTTGAGGATTACTGGTAATCAGTCTGGGTCATTGAATAAGGAAGATGCTACTTCGATGCCTAGACTGGAGTAAAATCCTGAAATCTGTCAGGATTTTCCTATATTGCTGCCCCTTGATACAGGCTTGCTTTAGCTAGGCCACTGGGATGGCCTTCATGCCTGGGTGACCTGTGGGAGTATCTATTTTTGACACGCACCCCTGCCTTTTGAAAAAGCACCTTTGGGACATGGACTCAGGGGTTCTTTGTTCATCCTTCCCAGGAACCTACCCCTACCCTTCTTTTACAGGTGTTATTCATCAGTTATCATGCTGGTATGTCAATAAATTACATAAATTAAGTGTGCCTTGTATTGAAAGGCATTTTTCTTCTGTTATGCCTTAGTTGATTGGATTCTCATGTCATATTAAGCTGTAATGCAGCATGATTTTTGTTAAGCCTGGATTCCCCAACGGGTGTTAAGGAAAACAAACTAAACAGAACGTGCAGCGAAGTCAGATAGGAAGACAGGTAAATGTGTGAGATAAGTTTTCTAGTTAACACGCAGTAAAAATACAGATACGCTTGTGCTATCAAAAATATAGTTTATTCCATTTAAGAATTATAGCATAGTCAAATGTAACGGTCCATTAGTCATATATCAATTTCAGTCAAGTCTTGTCGGGGATACTCTATTTGCAAAGTCCGTGTTGAATAGCCAATGTCAGTTCACTTACAATAAATCAGTCCAATCTTTATCTTCTCTCCGTTGAGAAAAATCAACACTCCTTTTTCTCTCCCCGTTCCAGCAAAAACGCAGTCATCAATCCATCCAGTAATTAGGGATCAGTAAGCCAGAGAGAGCGAGCTGCAATTGCCTCGCTTCTTATATAGTGCTTTTACAACCACACCCTTAATTACATTCTTGCTGTTAAAGTTACACACACTTTAACTAACAAACCATGATACCATATTTATTATTTTTTACCCAAACCAGTTAGGGTAAACAATGTTATCCCTAACATTTTTGACCAAGGAAATTTGTGAATCCAATTAAAATGCATTCACAAATCATAGTTAAAACACATTCATATCAAATATGGATATGGTACATGTGTTTGAATTTACTTTCTCAATTCTTAACAATCATTCTAATATCCCCCTTGGATTCTTTTCTTTTCTTGAACAAAATTCAAAAAATTACTGTAACCTTTCATTGGGAAGAAAATGCTCCAATTTCTTAATTATTTTTGTCAGGTTTTATGATTCAGGTCCTTTATGTACATACTCTCTTCACAGATCCCTTCACAAAAGAGTTCATTACTTCTGTACTCCAGTTTTTTATCTACTACATTCCAATAAGCACACTGCTTAGTGAAAATGTGTCCAGGGGAAGGGAACTCCTGTTGCAATAATAATAATAATATAAGGGTATTGGGTGTGGTAACTATTAAGGTATATCACAAAAATGTCACATTTGAGAGGTAGACAATAAATCAAAGACTGAAGCCAGGAGGTAAAAATCAGAAAATGATGGAAGTAATTTTCAATGTTTGTCTAAACACCCAAATAGTCCAATCATGTTAAGACCTGAACTAGTGGGAAATTACAGTTTTGTGCCATCATATGAGTGTATCTTTCAGATACACACACATATACAAATACACACATATACACACCTATACCATTGTTACAGAGTAACAGAAAAGTGAGTGGTTTTTTTATGAAAGTGTTCCAAAAAGTTAAAGTAAGTCTTGGAACAGAAAGCAAATACGATGCCAATTTAGGACTAATATTTACCCTTTACATCTGGCTTTCCTTCCTTTGCCTCGGAGGTGGAAAATCACTCCCCTCTTTCACCTTTCAAATAAAACATGGAATTATGAAGACAAGTCTATTCTTTTGCTTATTGCCTTCTAAAGCTATTTGATGCCACAAAATACCCTGATATTAACGGAGTCAAACTGATTTGAGTTGCAGATCCAGTAATCTGGTTAATGCTAATCAAAAAATAAAGCTGAGGTGACTGTCTGTCATGTTTTCTCTAGGATAGCCCCTTTTTTGTTCTCAAAGTGTACGTGATTTCAAGGCTTTCTATATTATGGAGTGATACTTTCCGATTTTTGTACAGTCCCTTGATGGCACATTTTGCTTTGCATATTTGCAGGATTTTGTTCTTCGGTACGTTGAAGGCACTCTGCCTCAGATTGTTCTAGTTGGCAAAACCACATTCAACTTGTATTGATCAAATTCTGAAACCTTAAATAGAAGGTTCAGATTCTAACCCTCTTCCTCCAAGAATGTCCTCTATCATCTGTTAGACCTTTTGCATCTATCTATAGATTGTTTCCTTGTCTATCACCAAGCTGTTATCATTTGTCTTGAGGAAACACATGGCAGTTGATTTCCTTCTATAGGGTGACTGAAGATAAAGTGCTATGTTATTAAAATATATGAATTTGTGCTAAAATGCACTCATATATGCTGTTAGAAAACTTAAAAATTGATACTTTAGGTTTTTCTATCTTTTAAGTAGTAATTTTAAGTACTCTGTTATTTCTACTTTCTTGGATTGATGACCCAGGTGATAAAGGTGCAGTGCAATCATTCTTTACTTTTCATGGACATTGATGAACAACTCTTGGGCCCAGCATAGAAATTTAATGAAGAAACAAATAAATGCCTAACAATCCTTTTCTTCACATATTCAAACAGCAAGTACTGCACTTTCCTCAGTAGTGTAAGCTTAGCTAAAAAATATTGGCAAATCATAGCAGATTGATGTTTCTTGATATTCATCTTTAAGCCCAGTTCTTTTTTCCTAGATTTTTGCATCTGTGTGTAGCCTAAAACCTATTTCCATATGATTGGCTTTGCATTTGTTTTCTGCACTATGGTCAGTTATTTCTGGGATCCTGTGAGCTCATTATGTCCACCTAAAGTAATCATTCAATTGTTTCTTTGAATTCTCTCTTGGCATAATTACACTCATCCAATCCATGGAAAACTTTTGAAGTTTTGGAATTTCAATCAGCCTCAGTCCTCAGCCGATGAGATAATGGCATGGGATGTATCAAAAACTTCACAGTACAAGCAAATGGGCTCTAAACACACACACACACACACACACACACACTTACTTTTAAAGTGAACTTTCTGTTGAGCCACCTTGTGGGACTTCAAAATGCTTTGTTTTAATTACATTGGGCCTCTTGCATTTACAAGCTACATCTTTATAGTTATTTCATGAAAAAGTTACTTTCCTTTTCTCTCCTTTCATCTCCTTACTTCTGATGGAACAAATGTCATAATCTCATTGCCACTCACCAACTCCCACAGCTTTCAAAACTTATAGATAAACTATATTTAAGCCTTCTTATTTCCTGTTGTCTAGTATAGGCTTTAGTTAAATTTTTTTAGTACACTTGAACAAACTCATGTTTATTTAAGCACTATTATCATTCTGTGGTAACAATTTTCACGCAGGAAGTCCTAGGTTGAATCTCTGGAACTGACAATCCAAGAGATCCAAGTTTTGGAACTGATGTTAAGTGGAGAGGTGCTATCTATTTGAATGGGCAGCACTGGGCTAGGTGGCATGCAAGACTCTGTCTGTCTGTCTATCCATCCAGCTGTCCACCCACCCAGTATTTAATTTATCTATTTCAGACTTAAGCAATGTGCCCTTCTTCCCATTTCCTACCACATACTATTATAACATTATATTAACTCGTAGCAGGTTTTGTAACAAGTTGTTTAAACAAACCAGAAACATTCCTGTTTGGGTTTACATAAAAATGTCTGTTTTCTAAAAAGCCTGTAGTTAATTAGCTAGTGTTTTATGTGTTATTCAGATTATAGTCACAATAAATTTTACTGACATATATTTGGACTGCAATCAGTCAATGTTATCCAAGGCCTATGAAAAGATGTTTTCATTGATATCTGTTCTTTCCATCGTGCTCTGTTAGTTCTACAAACGGGTTTCTTCTGTGCTTTTCTTTCTTTCCTCGTAATTTTGTGTTGTCTGTGATTACATGGCAAGAAAATGATCTTACTCTTTTGAGCCATATCAGAGTTATAGAATATGCATCAGAATCTTCACTCACTCTTATTTGGGTAGGATTGCATGAAGCTGCCTTTAGGAATGGATATGTTCATTGAAGCACATATGATCCTTGAAGCCAAATGACTCTGAATTCTTATCTATTAGTAAAAATAGATAAGGAACCTAGTTTGCTTGAAGAATCAAGTATCTTTTACTCCACCATAGTTGTCGAAACCACAAGATACCCTTCTGTAGCCTTCTGGGTGACTCCACAGGGAAAGGAAGGAAAAATCTGGTGAGAATATCACAGGCCAGGTGGAAAGTGTACACCTAAAAGAGCAAAGGATGACATTAGGGGCATTGTAAGGCCTCTTCACCTCTTTGAATTCTGACTCAAAATATCTCAGAGCCTCCAAAGCAATGGAAATAGTACTATTGCTAAGCAGCAGCGCATTGCAGAGAGCCACAATGTAAGGCTGGGTTCCTTAGAAGCAAATGTTTTCTCAGAAATTTCTTCAAACAAACAAATAAAAAAAATTCTCCAGCAGACCTAGAGTTAGGAAAAGAAGGAGTGGAATTTGGAAAGTGTCAGCTGAAAGGACTTGATGCATTTCAAGTTTTTCAAGCAACAAATCCCTCATTTGGAGCTTTCCAAGGTGCTTAAGGACCAGCCTTACTTCTCTTGTGAGTGCCTGCCAATGGAGGAGTTCAAATGCCACAGAAGTTGATGGGTGAAAAAGATCCTTGCACTGGTTCTTGGCTTGGTTAAAAAAGTGCTCCATGAGTTGAACCATAATCATGGACTAAAACAGCCTGAGATCATATGAGCCTTTCCATGCTGCCCACAACACTTCTTTGTCTTAGTTGTTCTGCTGATGTATCTAGATGATTCTTCGGTGTATCTCTTATATTGGCATGTCTCTCAAATCCTGCTGATATAACAGATTGTAAGGTAGTTCATCTGGTAGAACTTGAATGTAGAATTGTTCTAAAAAAAAAAAAAAACAACAGCAATAGGGAAGCCCAGGTAACAATGTGGATTAAATCCAGTTGCAGAGAAAAACCAATAATGTGATACCAATCTCCGAAAGACTAAGTACATTTTGCCATATGCAGACAGAGTATGATTTATTTTTATCTATTTATCAATGGTGCTTAACACAGTGCTTAAAGAGCTGAAGGAACAAATGATCCCCACAGTCTCAAGCTACATAGTCTCAAGCTGGATTCCCTCAGGATGGTCATGATTAATAGCTGTGAAATACCTTAAAAAAACAGATTCCTACATTATAGTTTATTTTAAATTCATCCCTAATCCCATCTGGGTTAGACGATACTGGCCATCATACTGAGCTTAGCCATAATACATTTTATTTATTTGTTTTTAGTTTCTGTTTTGTAGAAACAGAGCTAGTGTGATTGTAGAAAGTATCGTACGGCCTAGCATGTTGTCTGAATCTAGCCACTGTGACAACACACATGATTAAGGAAAGCATAGACTAGCACAAAATGTTAAATCACACTATCATAATGCTTCCTCTTTCTACTCAGGCGGCATAAAATTTGTTCTGACATTGATTTCCTGAAAAGAGCTAAATGCAATAAAACCAATTCTGCTTTGGGCCATTTAAACCCTAAATATGGAGGTTAATTCTTGTATAAATAAATACAAAGCTGCCTCCATAAGCCTTGCTGCCCATAAATACATACTGGTAATTTATATCGTATGATCTTGGTTTGGATAGCAATTTAGCATAATAGCAGCAAAGAGATGTAACAGTATCCTAGTGGTGAGGGAGAAATTTCACCCCTATCTTAAAAAAGGACAAAACGCAGGGTAAAATGTTTAAGATATAAATGAATATTAATAGTAATGATTAGATGGTGTTATCCCAGTGAATTTTTGTGTGAAATGAGAGATTTGAAGTAGGAGAAGGGGGAACATTCTAATGAAATAATGGTTTAAAATATGTGATGTGGGGGGGAAATAATTATGGAAAATAGGTGTTCCCATAAAAGTATGATATTTAACTGAAAAGTAATGTGTTAAGTGTTTAAGATATAAATGAATATTAATATTAATGAATAGATTTATATTGGCATTGATAATATTGTATAATTTTAGAATGTACCAAACAGAATCCCAATGTAAGCTATGTATTCTATATTAAGTATTATAAATGTAGGGGAAAGAGATAAAGGCGTCATACTCCAATTAGTGTACAGGAGAAGTTTTGTTTAAAGAAGAAAGATAAATGGATAGCTGGAAACAGAACGGACAAAGAATAATAAATATTATGATTTGAATTGAGATGAGATAAATAAAATAAACTTAAGAAGATTTAAAAGAGATGAGAAGCTATATAGAAAATTGAAAATGGTAATAAGATATGGAATGGTATACAAAATGAATATGAATTTGAATTTGTGTCTGTACGAAGAGTTGTAACCCGGGACTAAGCAAAAGAAAAGATGTTCTTTATGTTTCTATGTTTTGTGTTTTTGTGTGTTTATGTTTGACTGAGCTAATAAAACCTTGGAGGAATGTTAGAAGAGGACAATTGAGAATAAAAGATAAGATAAATATAGATAAGAAATAAAAGTAAAGGGAGAAATAATGAGAAACTTGAAAGGATATGTATGTGTTTATAAGGAGATGTGTCAATGGTGTATAAAATGTTTTATTTGTTTTGTTAAAATTTACAAATAACTTTCAGAAAAGAGGTTTTATGTTCTTATGTTTCATGTTTTGTATGTCTTTAAAAATTAATAAAATTTGTTCAAAAAAAAAAAAAAAGGACAAAACGTAAGAAACTTTTCAACTAAAGTATCAGGAGAAAGAAGGTCCCAAATCTGCCATTTGTTTTGCATTTGGAAGCCAAATCTACCAGAATGGAAAGAATGTAGAGGTAATCCTCAATTTACAACAGTTCATTTAGTGACTGTTCAAAGTTACAACAGCACTGAAACGAGTGACTTATGACTGCTTTTCACACTTAAGACCCATTGCAGCAGCCCCATGGTCATGCTTAGAATAGGTATAGAGACACCGTCGTATTTATTTATACAAGGATTAACCCCCATATTTACGGTTTAAAATGGTTTAAAGCAGAATAGGTTTTATTGCATTTAGCTTTCAGGAATCAATGTCAGAACAAATTTTATGTCCCTTGTAGAGTAGAAAGAGGAAGCACTGCAGCATCCCCATGGTCATGCGATCCAAGTTCTGATGCTTGGCAACTGACTCGCATTTATGACAACTGTATATCCTAGGATCATGTGATCAGCTTTTGCAACCTTCTGGCAAGCAAAGTCAATGGGAAATCCAGACTCACTGAACAACCATGCTACTAACTTAACAAATGCAATGATTCACTTAACAACGGTGGCAAGAAAAGTCGTTAACATGGGACAAACTCACTTAACAAATGTTTCGCTTAGCAGTGTAAATTTTGGGCTCAATGGCGGTCATAACTCAAGGACTACCTTTAGTCCTTCTTTCTTGCTTAGGGTATTAGAAACCTGGAGTGTGATATATCACATCATGACTGGTTTTGCTGGTGCCCAATGTTTTCTGAAGCATTCACTTGAAAAGACCATAACCAGCTTCGTATTGTTCTCTATTTTGATGGTTTAACATGTGTTTTGGCATGAATCACTCAGGAGATGGGCTGGAGAAGAAGCCAGCCAGCAGGACGGGCTTCCGAAATCTGCAGGTGTGCTGGGATTGTATATGAATCCAACAAGCAAGAGATTTGATGAATGCTAAAATTTATCTGTAGCTGGAGGGATAACCGAGTGTAGAAGGGTTTGTGTTTGAACTCTCTCTCTCACACACACACACCTTGAAAGCCTGAAGGTTTGCTTTCTTTTTTCCCAAAGCAAAACAAAAGAATACTTCATGTAATTACAGGTATCATGTGTGACTATCAATTATAGCTTCATTAGGAAATCTTTCATTTGAACTAGTCAATAATACTTTTTTTTTCTGATATTGCTTGACAAAGGAGAATACATGTCTTTTTGCCCAAAGGTGTTGCAGGTACGAGATTGCTAGACCTAGAGAAGCTATGCTGTTATGGGAGACAAACAGTCTAATTTTGCCAAAGTAAATGGCTAGAAAGTGGAAGACGGAAGGGGAGAAATGGAGGCTCACTACAAACTGTTCAAACTGTCAAATTCCTTTTGAACAAATTAGCTGATTATAATCTTATTGATGCTTGGATGCCATCCAGGGTTTCTTTTATCCACTTGTACAGAATGATTTTTTTTTAATTGGAGTTTTCTTTCCTAAAATAAGCTTTCTATCCTGACCCCGAAGGGAAAGATTACTAGTAATGGAGCAAAATTCAAACCCAAATCCATACCTTTGTTAGTATTCCCAAATAGTTGTAGATATGATGATACATCACTTCATGAAGAGTTTCTGGTTTAACTCCTGGGTACTTGCCCTTTTATTTAAAAACGTCAGGAACTATATTAGCAATCATCTAAACACGTGATGGCTGGCACACAAATCCATTGGAAATCCAAAGGTGCTTTTTCAAGTGGCAACTGGACTTTCTTTCTTTTTTTTCTTTGAAGACATTTTGTTTCTCATCCAAGAAGCTTCTTCAGCTCTGACTGGATGGTAAGGAATGGAAGGATTTATACTCCTTGCAGACAGCTGGTCATTTGCATTCTTTTAGTTGTTGAGGCCACTTGGAGATTTATCTTTTCCAATTGTCATTGGAAAGGTGATGGAGAGTCCATGGCTGAAAGACTCAAAAGAGCTGCTTAGTTTGCCAAGAATAAAACAGGGCGAGGTTTTTCCCCAATTTATGTTTTCTCTGTTGATTGTTCCTTTGGTTTCCCTTTTCCCTTAGTCTGATTGGAAAGTCAGTACGTTAGATGATTGGCATAATTTTTTATCTTTTCTGAAAGATCAGGAGTTTGGCCTCCAGAGCTTTTGAAGAACTCTTTCCTTGATATACTGCATTTTGCTCTCAATTGTCATTCCAGCCCAGAAGTTGCTGTAACAAGAAAGCTACTGGAACAACTAGTTTTGAGAAGTATTTCCTATGGCAAACATAATTATGATTGTAATTGTAATATTTGTATTTCAGACATTTCAAAATTAAAGAAATGACTAGGTTTTATACTTGCAAAAAATGTAGATAGCTACATTGCTTTGAGAGTAAAAATCTAAACCACGTTTATTAGAATCAATTAATATGATCATGGAAACAATCCCAAGGGTTTTTTTCTGAATGGAAATTATCAACCAAGGATCAATCATGTGATCACAGCGAAACATTTCTGGAACTATAGAAAGTGTCTATACAAAAAATGAATCTATAAAAGATATAATCAAATGATATTTTACAGATTATACTTTTTTTAATCTCCTGGGTATTTTTGGAAATGTTACTTCATTATTTATTTGTTTAGAAGATTTATATAGTTGTCTAATTTGCATAATTGTGACTCCAGGCAATGTAAATAGTAATAGACAATCCCAAAACATCTTGAGCACCACTTGAACATCACTGGCATTGACAAACTCTCCGTAAGTCAATTAAAAAAGGAATCAATGGGTGGATAAAAATGCCAAGTCCAGGCTAAGCATCTGGCTAACTATGCCATAACAATAATAACACCAACAGACAATATTACAATAAAAACCATGCTATATCAACAAAAGGAAATTCATAAGCTAATACATCAACATTAAGCTAAGCTCACCAATCATACCCTCCATCTCCCAGAAAATGGGCTAATCTATTTCCTTGGTGGCAAAGACTAGGGAAAAACACATGTTTTTAAAGCTGTCTTGAAGGTTCATAAGTTTGAAAATGGGGACTAGTTTTAAAGGTGCTGCAACAGAAAAGGCATTTTTTTCTAGGTCCTATCAGAAGAAATTGCCTCAAGAAGGAGACCCAAGCATGGACAACCCTGTGATTGGTCAGAAATAACCAAAGATAGACAGTCTTGAAGATAACTTGGTCCTATACCATGTAGGGTATTGTAAGTGACAACCAGCATCTTCAATTCATTTGGAAGGATGTTGGGAACCAGTACAGCTTCCTTTCCTAAAAGCAATGTTACATGGATATATCATGGTGTCCCCATAACTATCTACTCCACTGCAGTTTGGATAGTCTTCAATGCCACTCTTATATAGGGCACATCACAGTAGTCCATGGGGAGGGGACTAAAGCATGGGTGACTGCTTCCCAATTCAGGAAAGGACACAATTGGTGAACCAGATGAAATCCTGCAAAATCCTTCTTAGGTACAACTGCCAGCTACTCCTTGAGGAAGAGCTGTGTGTTCAGGAAGATTATTGAAATTCATACTTGTTCACTCCCTCCAGGAATAATGGTGATAAATGTCTAGTTTCTGGATTCAGAGGATCAAATCTCACAGCCATTTAGTCTTACCAGGATTGAATTAAAGCCTGTTCTTCCCCATCCAGCCCACCATAATCTCCAGACACTGGGGAAAAAAACCTTGACTGTGCTATTTATTTGGCCTAGGGAAGAAATGTACAACTGATTATCATCAACGTACTGATGACAGACCATTTCACCCAGTGACTTCATTTAGATGTTGTGGAGAGAGTGTAGAGTTCTGAGGTACCCCATAAAACAGAGGCTGAGGGCCTGATCTTTCTTTCCCCACTGAAGGAAAGAGACAAATCACTCCAATACCATGGACCCTAAGGCCGACCCTCTGAGCAGGTTCAGAAGAATACCAGATAACAGATAATCAGAGTTGGAAGGGACCTTGTAGGTCATCTAGTCCAACCCCACACCCAAGCGGGAGACCCTACACCATTTCTGACAAATGGCAGTCCAATCTCTTCTTGAAAGTCTCAAGTGATGGCGCTCCCACAACTTCCGAGGGCAAGCTGTTCCATTGGTTGATTGTTCTCACTGTCAGAAAGTTTCTCTTTATTTCCAGGTTAAATCTCTCCTTGTTCAGTTTCCATCCATTATTCCTTGTCTGGCCTTCGGGTGCTTTAGAAAATAGCTTGACCCCTTCCTCCCTGTGGCAGCCTCTCAAATATTGGAACACTGTTATCATGTCTCCCCTGATCCTTCTCCTCATTAGACTAGCCATGCTCAGTTCCTGTACCATTCTTCATATGTCAAGAGTATACCATAGTATTAAAAACCACTGAGAGATCAAGAAAGTTAAGAAGGTTGCTATAACCCCCATTCTGAGTCACTATAGGTTGCTGAAAATGGAACCAATGCTGCCTTAATACTGTGTTCTGGTCTGTTAGGCCAAACTAGCTGGTAATATTTAGTGGACTTTAGCTAATGTCAAAAAGCTAAACAAGGAAAGACCTGGTTAGTACTTGGATGGAAGACAACCAGGAAATCCCAAATCTATAGATTAGGCAATTGGGGTGAGGTGGGGAAGCCAGGAGAGGGCAACACATATCAGCTCAATATTGTTACCATGAAAACAATATGGACATGTCCATGAAATCAACAGCAATTGAACCTGACTCAGAGATTTTCCCTTACCTTTCTTTTACTGTACTGTGGGCAGTTAATTTATACTTAATAAAGTTGGCAAAATGCGTAATTAAACTTAACAAAAAAATATCTGGGGGTGGGAAGGGAGAAAGCATGACAGAGGGAGAACATGAATGACAGAAATTTGGCAGATCTACAAAAGGAAAGAACACAAAAAGAAAAGGATTAGTGAAAATAAAGATCAAGAGAGGATCAAAACGTATATTGGCTAAATTCCAAGAGGCATTTCCTACAATTTATAAGACAGTCTATTCTTAACTTTTGGAACAGAGGAACTAGTTGATCTTCACCTAAAACAATATTGACCACCCTCTGAGTTAGTGAATGAAAGGTCTTAGAGATTCCTAGAGAATCCAAAATGAGGTACAATTGTCAATTAACTGATGCTCGTATATACTTTAGAAACAACTATCCCATAGGATAGCCTAATTTTTTGACCACCATTAAGCATATGGAAAATTTCCAAATGTTTTCCTTACTGGGAAACCAGATTACATGGTTGTGGATTGTAGAGCTTTTTTTGGTGCTGATTTGAAATTCCTGGGATTTATAATCCCAGCATCTTTGGAAGGAAAAAGCTGTCCTAAGATACTCTTGCTTTTCACATACACATGCTTTGTGGCTTTGCAAAAACTCAGTAAGCCACATAATAGACCCAACCCAGAGCTGCGTTGGATCTCTGAAGAGCAAAAGTTGCAGTATCTACATGCAATGAAATACAAACAAGGTTCTCAATGGAACTATTTAGCTTTTAAATATTACATGGAACAAGAGCTGCCACAGAAACAGTAGCTGTTTTAAATCTGAAAACATATGGGAAGAAAGTGGGTGGAGGGAAGAGTCGCCACGCAAGCACAACCCCCGTTATCTCCCTTGCAAGTGGACGGTAGTGCACTGAACTTAGAGATCAGACCAGAGGTTTCAGGTGGGTTTGGGTAAATGAACTCAGAGTTTACTCTTGATAAGAAAGCTTAATAAGATAAGTGTAGGGGAAACAGGGAATGGTGTTGAAAGACAGCAGAGAGAACTACTACCAAGACAATGGTCAGATAAGAAGAGCTTGAGATTCAGCCCACACAAGTTCTCCCTCTAGTTCAGGGGTGTCAAACTCAATTTTATTGAGGGCCGCATCAGGGCTATGGTTGACCGGGTGTCAGTGGCCAACTGGGTGGGTGTAGACAGCTTGATGCCATTCATTGGGTGTGGCCAATTGGGTGGGCATGGACAGCTTGCTGCCAGTCCCCAAACTGCTGGCATGTTTCCTCTTCGCATTGGGTAGACAGGCTGAAGCCATGCTGGCCCGACGTTTCCTCTTTGCATTGGGCAGACCGGGCCGAAGCAGCGTGGGTTGGCCCCTTACGTTTTCCAGGACGGCCCTGCGGGCTGGATCCAACCACATCACAGGCCGGATTCAGACCGCAGGCCTTGTGTTTGACACCCCTGCTCTAGTTCATAGAAAGAGGGAGGGGGATACCACATTTACAAGATTATGTGGATAGTTCTTGCTTAACTACTGTTCATTTAGTGACTGTTTGACAGCACTGAAAAGAGTGGCTTATAATTGGTCCTTGCACTTATGACCATTGCAGCTTTTCCAGTCACTTGATTGTGATCCAGGAGTTTGGCAAGGGGCTCACACTTGTGACTGTTGGGAGTGTCCTGAAGTCATGCGATTGCCCTTTGCGACCATCCCTGCTGGCTTCCGACAAGAAAAGTCAATGGAGAAGCTGGCAGGAAGTTGCAAATTATGGTCCTCCGGTATCTCACTTAACAAACATAGGTGATTTGCTTAGTGAGCATGCCAAAAATGTTATAAAACTGGATGTGGTAACATGGTGCTCCACCTAATGACTGTGCTCTTTAGCAACAATCTTTACAATCCTATTGTGGTTGTAGGTTGAGAATTACTTGTAATCCAATATGGCATTGGCAATTGGCTTGCACTTACAACAGTTGGGGTGTCCTGCAGTCCTATGATCGCCATTTGTAACTTCCCAGCTGCTCCCGATGAGCAAAATCAATGGGGGAAGTTGGCAGGAGGAGGCTGCGGCAAGTTTTGGTGATGTAATGTTTTGCTTAATGACCACATGTAATTTGTTTAACCACCTTGGCAAAACAGGTTGTAAAACTGGGTAATTTGAAGACTCATTTAATGACCATACCACTTAACGGCAATCTTTCCAGTTCCTATTGTGATCCTAAAATTGAAGACCATTTGTGGATGTCACTGTACTATAAACATAATCCAATATGGCATTGTCTTCTTAATCCGCTCTAAGGCTGTAGGGATGGCAAAAAAGCTTTTGAATGTGTAAAGGTTTCAAAGCACATTCAGATGGATGTGTAGAGAACCCTTTAAAGTCAGAACACTCTGGACTCTGGAGGTGTTTGCAGGTGTATCTTCAGCCTAGATCCTCAGTCTTTGTGCATTCGAGCAAAAGTTCAACAGTACTACTACTATTGATATACTGTTCTGCAACAGAGTGATGCTGTTTTAAAAATAGAGACACCTAACATCTTATTCTTGCT